GTGCGTAAAATTTAAAATGAAAAAGAGGCTTCTCGCAAGTACTCTTGGAAAGATACCTGATTTGGAAATATGCGAAGCTTCTGACTCCAGAGTTATGCTTTTGCAGAAAGTTCCATCTGAAAATCCCAGCTTGCGAAGATTGTACAAACGGAGTGGCTGCCCTTGATCCCAGACATGCACATACATTGGTACACAGACGGTTCTAGGATGGAGAACAGAGCGGTGCAGGTCTGGCATCAGAAAATACAGTAACACTGTGTTAGGTGACACTATGAGATCGAAAGCAACGAGGCCGCTGATGAGTTGGCGCATGAATATGATTCTCAGCTGTCTTTCTATGACGGGCACCATTTTATTGTTTCAGTTGGTTCTCTTCGACAACCCTAATCACTGAGTGGGTACGTATAATGGTCTGATTATGCATACTTCGCATAACTTTGCATAAACTTCAAACTGTNAGGTACGTATAATGGTCTGATTATGCATACTTCGCATAACTTCGCACAACTTTGCATAAACTTCAAACTGTAATTTCGTATGTACTTTGTATGTATTTTGTATGTATTCCATTACCCAGAAATTAGCAGAACTTTTAAGAACTTAGCGATCTGTTGAGTTTAGATCTTGCTTCACATTTTCTTAAGTTACATTTTTAGTGCACTGGTACAAATGGTTGTGCGAAGTTATGCGAAGTGTGCATAATCAGACCCTAAGTCCTGGGAAGCGTAGGCTCTTCAGCTACCCTGTTAATAGATCGGATATTATTTAATAAGGCAGAAATAATATCGTGGTATTCTCTGCGTACCTAACGGGTCACGACCAACAGCGATTTTATATGTACAGAATAAGTGCTATCGGAGAGTTAGAATTCCGACCCTGCCTTGGCGATGAAGAAACTTGCAAAGAGATTTTTTGCGGTTGTCCGGCCTTGGCTAGACAAAGATCGACTTATTTTTAAGTTCCAATAATACGGAACTCGACTTCCAAGGCCCTTTCAGGATTCATTAGGAAAGCCGATATTGTCTTGTGGCAGACTGGGTAAGGGACTCTCTTTAGAGTCTCTTATTCTGGCATACCCGTGATTTTTAGCTATATAGACCTACCATCATTTTAACCGAAAACAAATCTGCAATTGCAAACAAGTTGCGATAATTTATAGAGTACAAAATTATTGTCAATCTGTAAAGTCTTAGATATCAACACAGATAACAATACGTCCTTGTGGTACTTCTGCTTCAGGATTCCTTAACGAGTTTCAACTTCCATCTACACCGATGTTTCAAAAACGGAAATAGAAGTTTGCGCGGGCCTAATTGCGGAGAATCTGCATATTATTTTCCTGACGAGTGCAGAATCTCTCCTCTATCAAGGAAAGACACCGTATTTGTTGAGAGCTATGTGGCATTGAAAATGTTATGACCCAAAGTAGTGAAGTCAAATATAGTTAGGAAATGGCGCGCATTGCTAGCATAGGGTTGCTATAATCTTGAACCCATCGACCAGGACACTTATCATCCAAATAAAAAGATACAAGTGAATATGATGCCAATATCTTCCTTATAAACAAATTTACTTTGTTTCTGGCGTTGCATTGATTTGAAGTTATGTAGTTTTGTGACGAAATCCGTAGAGCTGAAGGAATTATGATGATGTGGTTGTATGCAACGCTCAAAATTTGAAATTTTTCTTTTCTTTATTTACTTAATATTTATTATTCTTTTATAAAAATGCATATCATTATTTAACAATAACCATATAAGTCCAAATTCCAAACTGTGTACAAAAATTAGAAAAACTCACCAAAATTTACAACAACAATATTACTCTGTTGCGTGTTTAGGCATAGCAATATCATAGATAACGAGGTAGCCTATGAGATGCTGGGCATTGCTCGAAAATGCTGATCGGTGGGGCGGGTACCTCACTATAACCATCGATTTACGATTTGCAGCTGTAACAAATGACCTACGCATGGACCAACCAAGACAATTATAAAGTTTCAAAGCTTTTACGGTCGATGCTTAACAAGAAAGGAACTGAGAAGCTTTTCGTGTAAAAAAGGAACGATTTACGATTTCCTATGTTAATGTTCAGTTCTCCTGACACTAGTTAGCTGGGAAGAGATAACAGAAGTGAAAGCATCCAACTTCCTCAATTTTATCAGGGAAAATAAGACCGTAATTTAATTTGCTTCCACAAAGTGGTTTTTTAATAGTACACACTTTTAGGCATTTAAATTTAACTCCAATGTTACTCCATCCTCTATATTTGAAAACCCCTTATAAAAATTGAGAATTGGCTTTTCCGCCGCGCCCATTTTTAATTAATGAGCAAGTATTAATGAGAAAGGAAATGAATCACAGATTTCTTATAATCAAGTAGATATGTATGTAGGTATGTATGTATTAGCAATAAATTTACCACCATTACATCTAGCATAAGTCATAAAAATTGCATTAATATCAATTAAATTCATTCTTTTATTTCTGTCCCAAACGCGCTGAACACATAAAATTTTATTCGCAATTTGCGGAGTTACAGTGGATTTTTGCATACATATGTAGGCGTGCATTTATTTCCCTTTGATAGGCAAGCATTTTATTAGAAAGAAGTAGATCCATCCATTATTACAGCCGCGCCTTTAACCATTTTGCACCGCCTCTTAACCACAAAGCTAAATTTAAAATACTGGCAGCGACCTACATACTTAACTGATATCCGTTTAATCGTGTGTAGTAAACATGTATGTATGCAGGTATCCGAGTGTGTACGCCAAGGAATACGCTGGTGAAGTTGAACAAATAAAAATCACCATCAAAGCACATTTAGTGTTGGAGATCATCAATCATTCTGCGCACGCATGACGGCCAACATGCCAAAAAGCAAACCCAGCAAGGCTATCCTCACGTGCTGCCCTCTCTCTCTAGTGGATGTGCGGGTGGTCTGAGCGGGTTGTGCTTCTAACGCTTCTTTTCACAGCATCCCTCAACCACTTCGAAAAGCCCATATGCTTCGATTTATGTATGTGGGTTACATTAAAAAGCATACCACTCATCGTCGCCATTGTGGCAACTCAGCGACATAAACAGCCGCAAACTAATTCAATTTTTGAACAAACACCCACACAATCATGAAAATACATAGACGCCTACGCCGAAAGCAAATATGTGCATACCCAAAGTAGATACCCGGTGTCGGCTAGAGTGTCGACCATTTGGTTATCATCGTACAGATACACTTTTACTTTATGCCCGCGTCAGATTGAAATTTATGAGCTTGTCGTTTTACAAAAACCCACATATACATACGGTGACCATAAATATGGATTCAAAATGAAGGACAATTTTTCAAAAATATGCCTACACATACTTAGTATAAAAATATCAAAAGAGTATTTATGATTCGAAATTCTTAATACATTATAAACTTAAAAAAACGAATCACGTTTTCTTCATCGATATTAATCTTTTTTACATGAATATTTATAAAAGTATAGTAAAACATATTATAATTACAATAGCTTATACGAAAAGTGAAAATCTTTAAAAGATTTTTTTATAGGCAAATTTTGAGTCGTTCAAAACGAAAACAATAACTTTTTTTGTTTTTTGGTACTTTTCGCAGTAATTTGTCAAAAATCGACGTCATGAATCGACGTAAATGACGAGTTACAAAGGTATTTATGTGCCCTTTTCAAAAATATATAATTTGTGCAGATTGCGCTTCATAGCATCTACATTTCTAATCCGATTTTCATTATCTTTGGATCAAAATTTACTGTAATGATATATCTTATTTATCGAATTTTTAAACTAATGAAAAAAAAATATCAAATAAAGCTGCGTATTTGATTGAAACTCTCACTTTTTTCGACTTTGACGACAAAATGCAAATGGTCGCCTGTAGCACTAATAATTTTCATTGAAGTCGCCACAAGTTATATATTTTGGTAAGAGGCACATCAATACCCTTCGAGCTGTAAGTCGCTTACGTTGATTCGGAGATTTTTTCATGAGATATTGAAAAAAAGCTACGAAAAGTACCAAAAAAACACATTTTTGAAAAAATCCATCCATTGTCCGATAATTTTAAAATAACGAATAAAATGCGGGACAAATGCAGGACACTTGGAAAAAATCAGTACATTTTCAGGTTTTTTAGGTTTGAAAAACTACGCAGGACCGACCTTTGAAAAACAGTACGGTCCTGCAAAAAACAGAACGGATGGTCACCGTACATATACATAAAAGAAAAATAAACCCCGGAGGGAAAAACATTTCTTAAAGAAATATGTGTTTCTAGTGGGATTAAAATTTCTTAAATTTTTCGCTGAAATAAGATATGTATTCAATTAAGCTGGAATTATGCTCCCACCGAAGGATTTCGCAATAATTTCAAACTTAAGCTACGAAAACTAGCAGTGTTTAATGTCTGCTGCCGTATTGAATAGCTTTACATTCTTAAACATACCTAAATTTTTAGCATATGTAAAAGTTTTCCATGTAGGATATGCACAACTTCTGCATACATCAACAAATTTCCTTACCTACTTTCCTATCTGGTCATGGTAAAATACTCGTAGAAATGCGTTACGCATATTGATTTTTGTTGTGTATGATTTTTGACATGAATTCAATTTTCCACACTGCAGTACCTGAACTAACGTTTTTGTAGGTACATATGTATGTACTCGTACATGGTTAGATAACAAAATATGCAGAAACAAATGGGACTTCCACTAACAATGTTATATTGCCTTTGATGCCTTCAATATCCATTATTGGTAAAAGCTTTTTTTATGAATATAAAGGTAGGTCCTCCTATCTTGACATAAATATTCATGTATACATAGCGATTTCCTGCTGTATGCGATTATGCTTTTTCAATTTAAATGTAGACACCCACTCACCTGACATTCAACTGGCCATCTGGGGGCCTGCTGTGAGCAATCATGATCCTTGTCTTTTGGCAGGGCGAAGAGATCACGTGGTTCTTTTAGACGCGCAATTGGTCGTAAAGTTTTTTCATCAGTGTTCACCTCCAATTGATTGGTTTTCAGGCCTTTGGAGAGAAAGTTTCCTAGAAAGCCTAGAAAAGAGAGAACAATTGACTATTAATGGGGTGCATCGATCTTAACAAGATTAGATGGCTAAAACAACAGTCCAACAACAGTGTCTGTTAAAACTCGAGTGCGTACGATCCGCTAAACCACATTGACTATAGTCTATTATCGTGAATCAATCGAAACCTTTGTTTACTCTCACCCTTTTAATTCCATGATCGGGAACCAACGCCACCTATCGTAGACGAAGAGCTCGAGTTGCTTCGGGAGGCTCGCGATACTTTGACTCAACTCCATTCTGGATATTATAGCGGATTAAATAGTTCAGTTCAACGTCAATAAGTTATACCGACGACATCAAAAACCTCTTTGTCTGCCCACTCACATCAACCCATCTACAATGCAAACATATCGCCCCCTAATTGCGATTTTATAGTAAGCGACAAATTATCCGAAATAAGTTTTTTGTTGCAAATAAGTTACAAATAGTAGTTACAACGTCCTAAAAAATCGCAGAATTGAAATATGTACCGTTACGGAAAAAAAGCAAAATGAATTATATCGTTTGCTTTGTTTACACTTCTCCGGTCCTACAATCAAGATTACGTAAGCGAAAATGCGTGTACAGAACTTTATTGTAAATAGCAGTTTGAACTGTAAGTTCCATCAACACTTGCTACAACTTAATGCTTCAAAATCAGCATCTTCCACTCATCAAAATAATGTGCAATAATCTACCATTATGCAATTGCAGCTGCAATCACTAAGTGCAGCGTGGCTCGCCTGGTGGGTCTTTTTTGAAACTCTTACTTTGCCAATGGGTTATAAGCAGGGAACGGATTGTTAGGACCTAAAAACCTATAAAAAAAGGCAAAGTAAAATAACGAAATAGGCTGGAAAAGGCAAAATAAAATAGCGAAAAAGGCAGGAAAAGGCACTAGGTATTGCAAAAAAGCAAAATAAGGCACTAAAAAAAGACAGAAAATACGAAGAACAATAAAAAAATACATTTATTTTAGAAATGTTTATATTACAAGTAAAAAGAGAAAAACTATAAACTAGTTTCATTATATGAAAAATTTGTACTTCGAATCTTTCACTATCTTATCCCTTCGAGTTTCTAACTCATAAAACTTTAATCTGTATAGTTGTAGTAACATTGAACTACAATATGCATTTTGAAGTTTTCTGGCAGCATTTTCATTCGATTTTCGCGAAGGAAAGCCTTGAATGTAATAAATGTGCGCTCGACGTAAGTTGATCAAGCGGCGCCCAATTTAAATATGGAACGTTTGAAACGTTCATGTTATCAGGAATAAGGGCGTTTTCCTCGCCCTTTACAATTTTATTCACACCCCTTATTGTCTCCAAGCCTACGTTAGCTGAGAAAGCGGCTTTGAATTTTTCCAACACCAATTTGGCAATAGGTCCCTCGCTGCGCTTCTACCCAGCAAACAATTAGGTTTGATATACATTTGAGAATGATTTGAAATCAAAGCCTTTCTCATATGTCAAACGTTTGAAAATGATTTGATATTGATTTGAAAATTACAGCTTTCTCAATAAAATGGGAAGTTTGATCTCCATTTGAGAATATGATTAACTCTCGAATCAATTTCAAAGGTTATTTATCAATTGTACTTCAAATGTGGAAATAAAATTTATTATACGAAATGTATATTTCGTATCTATTTTTTCTTCGCGATGTACATACTTATGTATGTACATAACAAAAGAAACAATTAAGATAAAGTAATTTATAATAAATTCTTCAATCCGCGCTGACATCAAATCCGCTATTTGTGGGATTTCTCTTTGACAGTTTTTTTCTATTCATTGCTTCTTTTCAATTGATCTTAATTTTATTCTTACAATTTTTGATTTAACTGCGCATTTTTATATCGTTTGATACTTGACATCTTTCTTCAAATCAACCTCAAATCAATTTCAAATGTAAAATTTAAACGTCNCGAAATGTATATTTCGTATTTATTTTTTCTTCGCGATGTACATACTTATGTATGTACATAACAAAAGAAACAATTAAGATAAAGTAATTTATAATAAATTCTTCAATCCGCGCTGACATCAAATCCGCTATTTGTGGGATTTCTCTTTGACAGTTTTTTTCTATTCATTGCTTCTTTTCAATTGATCTTAATTTTATTCTTACAATTTTTGATTTAACTGCGCATTTTTATATCGTTTGATACTTGACATCTTTCTTCAAATCAACCTCAAATCAATTTCAAATGTAAAATTTAAACCTCGTTTTCAATTTGAGAATCATTTGAGAAAAACATTTGATATGATGAAACACATTTTTCCCAAACGTTTGGAACTGTGTTNGCCGCATGCGCATGTGTATATTTTTTTATCTTAAAAAAAATTTTAAATGCTATAATCACCTTTTTAAAGGTAGAACAGGCAAAATGGAATGGAAATATGGAATCAGGGAAAGCTAAATCGTGGACATCTCTACTCTATCTCTGTAGCAGAAAAAAAGGCAATTTCCATAAATTCCGTTCCCTGGTTATAAGATTTAGAAGCATGTCAGAAAGATAAAAAACAGACACCCAACTGGGCTTATATGCCTCTTGTATGCAACTTTTGCACTTCAGCCTTTTCTTTATAAAATTGCAGTCTTTGTATTTAATCTCTAGATTCAAAGTTTTCGTTTAGCAATTTTTTGGCCAATAACTAGGTTTGAAATGCATGACGAGTCGAGAAATATAACAACTGATTTCGAAACTTGTCAAAAATCTCCTTAATATGAAGATTTTGGCACTGAATCTATTCTAATAAAGTTTTACTTTTTCTCATTCTTTAAAAAAAAACGCCAAAAAATTTAAAATAGTAGCGCCAATGTGGTCGTTGTNCCAAAAATCTCCTTAATATGAAGATTTTGGCACTGAATCTATTCTAATAAAGGTTTACTTTTTCTCATTCTTTAAAAAAAAAAACGCCAAAAAATTTAAAATAGTAGCGCCAATGTGGTCGTTGTAACGCTTTAACACTGCGTCTAAGAAGCAAGTTTAAACAAGTATGTTGAGCTTGTATGATTTGAAAAAAGTAAATTGCCCAATTAGAAAGCTAGCATTCATTAATATTGTTGTCCATTAAAAAAAAAAATTTCACTGTTAACGGAGAATTAGAAAAAAACTCACCTGTACAATATACCTTTTGTAACTTACGATAATAATTAGGGGTCGGTATATGTATGCCCACATGTAATTCAATCGCCTGACGTTTATGTCAACTGTAAACCAGCATAAAAAACGAACATAATACCTAATCTCCAAATAAGGTCAAAGCACCTAGTACAGATAATTGCATTATTTTTGTAATTCAGCCATTTGATATGGCCTTGAAAAAACTGAATACAAACCGTATGCGAAGAAAGCAACAAAAATGCGAATTAAAAACAAAGTAATGTATTTGGGTAACCCCATTTAAGATAAAAATACGCTGCTCAGATCCAGTTTTACTAGTGAATGTCATTGTGAACTTTTCTGTCGCCAAATGGTGAAAGATATCTGGTTGCAAGGATATGTTACATATATATATTTATGCATATCTATACATTAGACTGCATCAGTCTCCATATAAAAAAAAAATCGGTACTGTTTTTCCATTGGAGTTATAAAACCTATTATATTCTTGGACATGCACAAAAATATTTTGGGAAAAAATTTAAGATTTACGTGAGATTAACCAATTTGAAAGAATCTCCAAAAATTAAGTTTTTTATGAATAACAATAGTTTTCTTTTAAAGATTTAAAAAAAAAAAATCACATCAGATGACAAAACAGTTTAGGCTTAAAAATATGCATACAACTATTTAAAAAAATTTTGAATTTTTTGCTGTTTTTGAGTTTTGCCAAAGATTGGTTTCAGAACAACTTCAGTAACTCAGCCAAAACTATACTATTTGTAGAAAAAGTCGAACGAGACCACCATACTAGATAGCAACAATAATTGTAAAAATTTTCTAATTCAAACCGAAAATCTTTATCCTCCGCCGAAATTTGATCATTTTCTCTAGACAGTCGCTGTAAAGTTTTGCTGTCATCTATGTATGTACGTACATACATATCGTTACCTTTTTATAGAAAGGCCCTATCTCATATCATCGCTGAAATAAAAAGAGCCGCAACTAACTAAAAATTATAAGTCCCCACAGTAAAAATTTTAGGTAGGTACGATTTGCATTTCAGCGACGATGTGAGAAAGGGCCTTTTTATATTAATGTAACCATCTACTTTGACTGAAAGACTAGACGAAAAAGTAACGCTGCATTGTTTACGTCAGCAAATGGTGGTCCATCCACCAACTAACCAAAACTAAAACCATTAAAGTTGAATTGAGTTCAAAATTTGCTGGTCTGGGCACTTTTAAAAAATCCCTTATCTTATGAAGCTTACCGTAAGGCGATTGAATTTCAGACCTTTTTCTAGCACAATCAAAAAATTTCATGTAAGAAAATCTCACTCCAGTTACCTAAATAAAGTTTGCTTTTTGTTAGAGCGTTTTCCGACGTTAGATTCTAGATTCCACAGTTCTAAGCGTAAGATGAGCCTCAATAAATACTTTTTGAAGAAAGAAAAGTTTTTAACAGCATTTCTACGTTACGCGTTCCAATTTGATACACCGCGCTTAATCTCGTTGTAAAAGGCGCCTGCTTTTGTCTTTGTCCTAATCGTAAATCGAGATTTTATGAGTTTAGGGGCCTACATATTACAGTGAAGAGTGAAAAAAATACACTAATACCATTTTCCCACGGCATTCTGAATTACTTTGTTCTCCCCCATTTACGATCGCGAATTACCCCATTAGCACATGCACATTCTTAATTCGATTTGACAGTTCTCTGTTTTTTTGTTTTGTTTTTATTTTTCTTCGCCGCAAAACTTATTCAAAATGAAAGTTCGTCCATATTTATAAGTTTCCGTATTAAATTAGGGATATACACATTGATAAACATAACTTTTCGTCGTCAGAAAAAATTCAAGTTTTGATCAGTGT